AGCAGTGGGGGCAAAAGACATATCTGGCTTCAAGATTAAGCTTGATAAGTTTATGGAAGGGATGGTATGATGGGATAGCCTAATTTTGACAATTAATTGATCTTTGACTATTAGCAGTAAATATGCCCGATGGGATGTTAGATGGGGTGGGATCTGAGTTATTACAGAGAATTCTCTGGGTGTCTGGCTGGTGAGTCTTTCCCACATGCTCAGGGTTTTGCTGATCACCATATTTGGGGTCAGGAAGGAATTTTCCTCCAGGGGAGATTGGCAGAGGCCCTGTGGGTTTTTTGCCTTCCTCTGCAGCATGGGACACGGGTCACTTGCTGGAGGATTCTCTGCACCATGAAGTCTTTAAACCATGATTTGAGAACTTCAGTAGCTCAGACATAGGTTAGGGGGTTATTACAGGAGTGGGTGGGTGAGATTCTGTGGCCTGCGTTGTGCAGGAGGTCAGACTAGATGATCGTAATGATCCCTTCTGACCTTAAAGTCTATGACTCTTTGACTGAGGGGGGAATTGATAGCAGCCTTCAATTACCTGAAAGGGGGTTCCAAAGAAGATGGATCTAGGCTGTTTTCAGTGGTGGCAGATGACAGAACAAGGAGCAATGGCCTCAAATTGCAGTGAGGGAGGTTTAGGTTGGATATTAGGAAAAATTATTTCACTAGAAGGATGGTGAAGCACTGGAATGGGTTACCTAGGGAGGTGGTGGAATCTCTATACTTAGTGGTTTTTAAGTCCTGACTTGACAAAGCCCTGGCTGGGATGATTTAGTTGGGGTTGGTCCTGCTTTGAGCAGAGTTGGACTAGATGACCTCCTGAGGTCTCTTCCAACCCTAATCTTCTATGATTTCAGTGAACTTTACTATCAGTTTTAGTGACGCTTCACTCTGCTTACATTGACATTGATGTTCTGTTTCCACCATAAGCATATTTCACTGTCATAATGAGCATTACTAGGTAGATATTAAAAGATGTTTAACACTGGCCCTGCTGCACCCTACTTACGTGCTCTGACTGTGCAGGGTAAGAGCTAAACTCTAGGTTCCCCACCTCAAAGAGGACAGTGCTGACTAGCTTATTGAGGAGTCTGCTGTTCATTTTTCTTACAAACCAGGCATCCATGGATGGTCCAGAGATAATTATATTTAATCACCTCTTTAATGTCCTCATTACTTCCAACCAATAGAGGCCCATTGTTTATAGTATACCACCACTGATTCTGTAGTTATTTGCCTCTAAAAACACAGACAAAACTTCACTAAGATTAGGTTTTACTGTACTTCTGTTCTCTGCCGTCGCCCTCAGGAAACAGATGTTCCTTAATCCAACTCAAATCTACAGGTAGCTGTCAATCACTTCTTAAAACGCTACATGCTGTGGTAGTCACAGCTGTAATCATGACTATAATCATGTCTTGCTGGTCAATTGTTATCTCATAATCTCTAGTTTTCTTTATGGCCTCCAGAAGTTTTAAACCAACTGTAGACAAGAAATGCAAAAGAGGAGGGGACTGCATGATTCAGAATTCGTTACAAGATGTGTCATTTTTCATCACCAAACTAGTGGCTCAGATCCAGTCAGTAGCAGTTAAAAGTGGTTACCTTTCAGTGGTTCATATTAAGTGATTTGTAGTCCCTTTCTGCAGGGCATCCTAAACACAGCCAATAAAACTGTGATATTACACACCTTCAAATTTTATGCCACAAATTACAAATAATCTATTTCAGACACACGTTAGATATTTTTCAGGGATGTTTTTGTAATTGGAAATGTGTTTGTAACCCTCTGGCTGCTTTCATTACACCATGAGTCCAACAATATGGGCCACAGAGGGAAATAATAAGGCAGCAATTACAACTTAGGTTAGTAATGAGCCAGACTTCCAGTGGAACCTAGTAAGGGCCAAGGTTGTAACTTGACCTGTTTAGCACATATTAAAGGAATCATGTGCCTTGTCTACATTAGACCTTTAAAATGGGTTAGGTAGCACATGTTAAATCTGCGTTGAGATATGGCCCCAAGTGTTGACACTATTTATCCACACCCAGCTGAGGGTTAATTTCAGGGGGGAGGGGCGGTTGAGGTCCACTGGCAGAGTGGCAGGCATTGAGCCCCTTAACTTGCTCCTTACTTACTTGTACGGACTGTAGCATTTTGGTTAATTAGGTCAGTTAGAGATAAGAAAAAGGGTTTCTATATGCCAAAGCTCAGCAGAAGAGCTACCTTGCCCCCTTCTCTCAGGTCTCTCTCTCCGCTTATCTGCCCAGCTCTCATTGCTGACAATCTCAGAGCTTTTGGGCACCAACAATCTACTCAGCACCATCTCTCTTTTTAGAATAGCTCAAATCCTGTTTAACCAGCACAGAGAGAGGGAGAATATTGTCCCTCATTACTTCTAAACTTCATTTCTTCTTCCTATTTATCTCTTTCTCTCATTTTCTTCTCCCTTTGTGTGCTGGCTGCCAGCAAGATGAAGAGAATATGACTTGTATCCTACAGATTTCTTGAACTCCAGACACTGGCCCATGTAAGTGCCCTCTTACAGTATGGGGCCTCACCTATATATTAATGAATATGCCATAAAACTTAGTTGTGAAGCAGTTAGGCCTGCTGCTCAAACAGCATGCTTGACTCAAACACTCAAAAGCAAGAACATGAAAAGTTAAGTCTCCTAACCATACATACCTGTACTCTTCCACCCACTGGCTCACACTATGCTATTATTACAACCTCTTTATACCCCAGACCAGACACTGCAATCTTATGGATCTTCTCCATACACCCCTTTACCAAACTCCTCTCCCTTAACAATATTATTTGTGGATGTTTGGTGTAATGATGTGTGTTCTGGGATGGGATAGTTTTGGTAAAAGGGTGTGATGTAAGGATGGCGTCTTAATGATCCTGACTAGACTATTAAAATCTCCATATGCCTTTTGAGCTTTCAGTTTTGCATTCGGGCAACATTTCAAAAGACTGTATGCACAAGCCTTTTAAAATTATTGACAAGAGGGATAAAAAAATCTGGAGTTGGAGAATGGAAATAACCAATTTTTTTCTTTGTCTGCTAATTATGGCACATAAAACTCACTTTAGAGAAATAATGCTAGTTGTTTTTTTAACTATAAAAATAATTACATAACCCCAAGCATCCCAACAGACTCTATGTACATGTTTCTGATCTTCCTTCTACAGTTTGTAGTTTTTAAGCTACAGTGGCCTGCAAAATCAGTTTTATAATACTCACTTTTGGGGGGTGGGGAGGAGGGGATTTTTAATTTATTAGAATTTGCAACTGATTTTCTGAACATTCAAGCCTGACTCAGATGACATGCTGCACATTTGCGGTATATTCTGATCCAAAATATCAAAAGTATTGCCATGAATTAAATTGACACTGTTAAAGTTCAATTGGGTAATATGTATCTCTTCTACCTCACTCCCTCAGTCATATTTTTGAGTAATAAGAAAATATTCCTCTGAAAGTGAATAAACTCTTGACACCCTCACTCTAGATGGACTGATATGAAACTATGTTAAAAACTCCACTTCTGAGCTGAATGACACAACAGTATATTCCAGGAGATAGTTTTCTTGCAGTCATGTGTGTGCACATTGAGATGTCCTTCCACTCTCCCTGCTGGCTTTATTCATGTAAACTGGCAGGATATTGCAATTGACAAGTTTCCTGCTCTCCTGGCACTTCAGAGAGCAGAATACTTGTCAATTCCAGTCAGTTGGCAGCTCTCAAGAAAGGAGCTGCAGAGAATGTGAAGCAACAGAGTGACACTTCCAAAACTCTGGTCAGTTTCACTCCTCCTGTTTGGAAGGCTTTTAAGCAGAAATAAAACTGACAATCTTGTCAAGTTAATTCAACTGTTTCTGCTCTTGCCTACAATTGGATAAGCATTTTTCAAGCTCTGGGGTACAAGAAATCCTGCCCCCCCCCTTTTCCATCGCTTTCCCCCCCACCCCCCCAGCATAAGAACTCACCTCTGTTCTTCCTTTTAAAAAATACATTCTGCTTCTGCAGAACATTAAATGCTGGTAATGAGTTGGTAACATGGTGGTTATGTAGTTCCCAAACAGGGAAAGAAGAATTATAATTACCTGTTCTCTTTAGAGAAGGTGATTTTGAAAAGTGACCAAGCTTTGGACCATTTCAAGAAAGGTATTGGCAGGTTTGGGTTGGAGTTTTAATAGGCTGAATGCCATCTGCTTCAGCAATTTGTAACATTTTATCGTTGACAACTGCAGAAAAATGAGGCAGTCTATTTTGGTGGAGTGGACAGATTTCTGTCCATCTGTGCTTGTATTACAGCATGTCACTTGTATTTTAGATCTGCATAGCTCTGAGCCAAGATAGATGCCATAGCAAGGTCAAGAGGTGGAGAAGCCTGTCAGCACATTCAGTCTCCGATGATATGACAACTGCAAATTGATGCTTCAAGCACAGCCTGGAGGCAGTCATTATGTTGGGCCTTGAAGCTGAGCTTTCTGTAATATCATTTCAAAGGAAAATGCTAACTTCAAATGCTTCAGAATATCAGACAAAGAGCTTAATCTATTACAATGTCTATGGTTAATGTCAGAGTCATTCATGGGTTATTTAATAACAAAAAAATTCACTGGTGAGGGATTTTTTGTTTTGTTTTGTTCCTTTTTGTCTTTAGAAAATATGTTGAAAGAAGCAGTATTGAAAGCGTAAGAAAAAATAAAATAATTGTATGTGTAAAATAAAATCAGTGAATGCCGTTTTTCTGCTCTAGGCTAGGGCTGAAAGTGGTTTATTTAAAAAAAAATGCATAACAGTAGTGTAGCATTTGATGGCTGAGTTGCAGAGCTTCAGCATAACTTTTGCAAGCTTTTGTTCCTCTTTTCCCATCCACTATCTTTTTTAAACTGACACAGTGCCATTTGGCATCATGTTTTTGTGCCGTGTGAGATTTGAGAATCACAGATTACCTGATCATTTTTTCCTCTCTTTAAAAAGTGCTTACCAGATTGTTGTTGAGGAGCTGCATCCACACCGAACAAAACGAGAAACAGGCACAATGGAGTGCTACCAAGTCCCAGTCACATACCAAAATGCTCTAAGCGGAAGCTCACCATATTACTTTGCTGCTGAATTGCCCCCTGGTAACCTTCCTGAACCAGCCCCATTCACTGTCGGTGACAATAGAACATACCAGGGCTTTTGGAACCCACCGCTGGCTCCTCGGAAAGGCTACAATATCTATTTCCAAGCCATGAGCAGTGTTGAGAAAGTAAGTACCGACCATATTTTCCTGTTGGAAATAGCTCAGAAGGTATCCTTGGTGATGAATCTCAAAGTTCGATGTACTTTGTGTTGGTGATGGTGCTGTTTTAACCTTGCACTAGCTTCTATACTGTAACAGTATGGCTTTGAGCCATTCATATTTCACACTACGCCTGCTTCTTAGTAACTGTTACTAGCTGAGAATTTAATAAATCTCAGTAATAGTTTGAGTGAAATAATTTCAGCTGTGTGATTCTGCCTCCTCCGTAAATAACATCCATTATGCTTCACCTAACTCTCAATACTTACACATTTCAAAAGATTAGATTACTGCAGCATAAAGAGAACTTACTTTGCTCAGCAGGTTAATAAAATGATGAAAACTTTTCAGGATTCTGACAACAAACCAACTAAAAAGTAAAAATCCACTGATTGTGAAGTAACCCCATGCCCATGGTATGTTTGTGAGCATCTTTATATACAACTCTGCTTTGATTGCTTGACTACCGTGCAGTAGTTAAGGGCATGGCTTTGGATTGCTTTCATTGCCTCCTTCCTTTTTGCATTTTTGACACAGTTGTTGAGCACTGCTGTTGATTCTCTATGTATATTGAAAAGAACAAAATGACAGGAAGCTAAACTCTGAAGAGGGTTCCAGGGGTGAAAAACAACAGAACTTTTCAAACCTCATGCTGTTGTCATTGAATGATTTTCTTTTGTAAACTGAAATATGGGTATGGGGAACTGTGTTCAGCACAGTAACTTGAGGTATTTAAATATTCAATTTATGAATTATGTTTTAGATAAGTATAGTTCTATAGGAAATTGCTACATTCTGGGTATAGAGCCCCTATATCAGGTGTGCAGGGGGTTAAGGAAAATTGCTGGGACACACAGCTAGATTAAAGGCAAATGACCTTCACCAGATCCTTCTGAAAGAAATAGAAGTCATTTATACCCTTTTATTTGGATTTCTGCTGTGGCTAATAATAAAGCAATCATGACTATTGACTAGATCTGCATTGAGCCTTTTGAATGAAGTCTCACCTATATCTATAATTATGAAAATTGCCCCTTCATCATATAAGGGTAGGAAAAAATGCAATATCTTATGAAATTGCACACTGGAGCTACTATGGAGCTGGAGGAATTTTCTGATGAGACAGACTTTTCTCTTGCTAGACTTAATCGAGGCAAACAACGGGAAAGAAAAGCTACCTGTCACACATTCATACACATTTCCCTCACCACCTACATTAACCCACCTAACAGCTTTGTTGGCTTCCAACAACTAAACTAGGTTCTTGAGGAAATTGATATTTCGTACAGTAGGTAGTGATTTAAAAATAGAAACAGAACCAATACCAAAAAAAAACCCAGATCCATGTTTCAGTTTCTGTATTTTGACAGGTTATAACCAAAAAGTGAGAAAGAGACTTTTTTTTTTAATTGATCTTCAGTTTGAGAAAGGCTGTGTGTGTTTGTGAAATGGTCTTCTCTGGTATGATGTAAAAGCTTGGGACAAATGTGGACTCACAGTTTTCATTAGTTTTGTTTCCAGTTGCTGGTATCTCTCAGTTTTACCACAACATCCATGGAATGCAATTGTACACTGTGACCCTGACCCTGCAAAATATTTCAGCACGTGCTTAACTTTAAATCAGTGGGATTACTAACCTGCTTAAAATTAGGTGTGTGCAAAAGTGCTCTTCTGGGTTGGGGCCTACATTACACACTGGTTGCTGCAGAGAGTTTAAATGTCGATACATTAGCAATACCTAAGGAAGATGCTCCTTAGTTATTGACATTTCCAATATCAACCGGTGGAGCTTTTGTCTGAGCTGAAAAATGCCTCTTTATTGAAATATGTCATATACATTTTTAGCTCAGGAGCTCTCTTTATTAATTTCTACCTCACAGATTTTCAAAGCAGTTGGCTTAGGCATTTCGAGTTAAATAATTCTTGTGTGTGCTTAAGTTTGTTTGTATTTATTTATTTATTTGTGGGGCTTTGGGGGGTGGGAGAGGAGTCAAGAAAAGAAAGAAGGAATCCTGAAGGCAATGACATAGATCCCAGCAAAGAAATGCTGCTTTGGGTGAAAAAATAGAGATCTTGTTGGATTAAAATGGGTTTAATCATTGTCTAATTACTTGTTAAAACAGACCTAAATGGCTTTAAGGGGCCAGTTACAGCCCATCACACAAACTTATATAACTTTTTCTTGTTTCTGATATTAGCTTTAAAACATCATATTACACCTAAAGAGAGAGATTACACAATAAGGCCAAGAAATTCAGTTAACATTGAAACTGCCTCTTACCCAGTGTGCATAACCAATTCATTTCTCTGACTTTTGAGTAATCTCATGCATTGCATGAACCACTGGTGGAAAAAAATAAATACAATTTTTTTGTATTTGTGCAAAGTTCTTTTGTGGTAAAATACCTATAAATCTAGAGCAGGGATCGGCAACCTTTGGCACACGGCCCACCAGGGAAATCTGCTGGTGGGCCGGGATGGTTTGTTTACCTGCATCGTCTGCAGATTCGGCCAATCGCAGCTCCCACTGACTGTGGTTCACCGTTCCAGGCCAATGGGGGCTGCGGGAAGTGGCGCAGGCCAAGGGATGTGCTGGCCACCGCTTCCCGCAGCCCCCATTGGCCTGGAACGGTGAACCATAGTCAGTGGGAGCTGCGATTGGCCGAATCTGCAGACGATGCAGGTAAACAAACCATCCCGGCCCACCAGCAGATTTCCCTGGTGGGCCGTGTGCCAAAGTTTGCCGATCCCTGCTCTAGATTTATAGGTATTTTACCACAAAAGAACTTTGCACAAATACAAAAAAATTGTATTTATTTTTTTCCACCAGTG